TGTAGGCCAGGGGGTGTGAGCGGCCTCCAGAAGCAGGACGAGGTAGACGCAGGTGACCCCCTGCTGTCTCCGGAAGAAAGGGTCAGCTGATGACCTCTGCTGACAGCAGGACTTCAGCTTCGAATGACCAAGTATGACCATTTGGGACTTTTGACCTCTAGAACTGTCCTGAGGTCATAAATGTGTGTTGTTTTAAGCACTGCATTTGGGTATCTGTGGCCAAACCGGAAGGTAGCTGGCACTTAGTAACTCTTCTGTGTCCCCAAATTTCTGGCATTCTCTCCCTTCGCTCCCACTGAACACACTTGCACTGTGAGACCAGAGCTAAGACCTAGGCTTCTGGAAGCAGACGTGGCAAGGAGTTGCATTTTCTCCGTGTGGCCCTGACTTGCAGATGCTGCCGTTCGGGACCTCTGTTCCTGGACCAGCCCAGCCGCAGAGGCCCATGGGGCCCTACAGAGAGAGAGCCAGTCTCCCTAAACAAGCTCCCTGGGCTGCCAGTTGGCCGGCCCAGCTTTCTGCCTGTGGTTTAAAGAGCTGTGGCGGGGCAAGGGGGTAGGGGGAAGGCTGGTCCCCTCCTGGGGCAGCTCATGGCTGTGTCGGGCCAAGAGATGCTCCTTTCTTTTGAGGGGGTAGAGCTCACCCCAGCCAGCACACAGGGGATCTCAGAAGCTTTCTGGTTGGACTCCAAGCCACCTGCCATTTTTATACTTTGGTTTATTACTGAAATGATTATTATGGCTAAACCTAATTCCAACATTTGTGTAGCTCCTCAGTGGCCAAAGCATTTCCACGATCATCCCTGGAAGGCCCGGCAGCCAGATATGCTTGCCGTGACCTGGCAGTATGAGAAGACGGCCTCTCAGAGCTGCCAAGAGCTGCCCGTGACCTCCAGGCATTAGTACTTGGTGCCATCGGGAACGGGAGTCAGGAGGCCTGGCTGGCCACCGGCAGTGGGGCCTCCGACGCCCCTAGCCCTGGTGGTCTGATCGGGGGCTTATTGGTTTCCCAGCTCAGGGACCTCAGCGCACCGGGCTAAGGAGTGCTGTTGCTAGCATCCTTACAAGCAGAAAGTTTTTCTTTTTCACCGTATCTGCTCACTAGTGTGTCTGTCTACTCTGTTTTGTTATAAGATGTTTGCCTCAAACCAGCCCAAGCCCCTCATTACTAGGATTTTGGAGGGGAAGGAAGGTTTTGTGCATGTCAGAATTAACCCCGGGGGGCAGCCTGCGAGAGGCCTTGAGGGACCGTGGATTGCACTGTCTGCTTAGCAGAGGCCCACCAGTGTGGGCCCTTAGTCCCAACACCCTCTTTCCTTGATCTTGGGGCGCTCCAGAGCAACTGTTTCCGAAGAGGATCATCAAGGGCTTGGCCCTGTGCACCCCCCCCCGCCCCGCCCACTCCCGCCCAAACATGCTAGAGAGCTGCTCGCTGACCGCAGGAGTGGATTTTGCTCAGAATGATTAGCGACTCATTTCACAATTGCCATCCCCATGTCATACTGGTCAGTCTACACTTGCGAGGACTCTGTCCCCTGCTAGGCTTGGCACATAACAGACACTCAACAAATATTTGCTCGATGAATGGCACTGCACGTGAAAGGAAGGGTCACCAGGCCAGTAAAGGGGCATCTGAAGGAGCTGGTCTTGGGAGGAGACCCAGCGGTGACTAACTGTTGAGCCCTTGGCCTTGTACCACAGACCCCGCTCTGAACGTTTGAATGGAGACGGTGTGCTGCCGCTCAGGATGGGAGACCTGGGGTTGGGATGATTCAGATGGAGCAGGGGAGGGAGGGGCTCCCATCCCTGTATTTCCCTTTTGGCAATTTCGTTGCAGGTCCTGGTGACAGAGCCCCAACAGGCCCCAGGGCAGGGCCCTGTAACCCGCCAAACACGATTCTCTCCTGACCACCTGCTCAGGAGACCAAGAGCAGGCGACTCCTCTGTGGCCAGCCGAAGCTGAAGTCTGCTGCCTCGGCGGGCACACCGGTCCCTGAATGTGGGCCTCCACGGTTGGGGTGGGGTGAGGGAGGACACAAAGTCACAAGGAAGGGGCAGGAAGGATCGGTGGGCATGGCTTCTACCTTCTAGAGCTCAGATCTCTGGCCGCACCCTCCTTCCTCTCGAAGCTCATCCCGCCTCTGGCCCTGAGGCGCCCCAGCTGATTTCATGGGGCTGCTGCTGCCGCAGAGGTGGTTACAGGATGTGGAAGGCGCCAGGGTGTGTCGCCGCGCGCTTCTAGAGACGCTCACTCAAGACTTCCCCAGGTGAGTACACACTCAGACGATTTCTAGGAGACCCCTTCTTAGAAGGCTCTTTCTGTTCTACACGGTCCCAGGGTGACCCTCTAGCTCATGATGGGTGCCAAAGCTTTTGTAAGTTCCCTCTTCCTACTCTTTCTACAAACCCAGGCAGTATTTCCAGCTTTAGTCATCTTTCTTCACAGAAGCACCTCAGCCAGCCCTCTCTCAGCCAGGCCCCTCTCAGCCAGGCCTGGGACGGTGCTGGCAACGCCACTCCGCCCTCCATGCAGTCCAGTTGTAAAAAAAGAGGAAAGTTATAGGAAGAGTCCCCTTTCTGTCCTAACACTGATTTGGCAATCCCATCACTGGGCTGACTGGGGTCACCTCATCAAGGCCCCAGGTCTCTGAGGACCTCCTTCCACTCCTCTCAAGGAATCGGTCTTCCCTCCGACTCAGCACACTCCAAGGCTCCCTTCGAAGAGGGCAGAGTCCAAGCTGGGTGACTGGGGACACGGTGTGGGCCGAGTTCAGGATTCTAGAGAATGCTCCTTGACAAGGAGGGGTGAGATAATGGATTGCTCAAAGCTGCACCTTATGCTGGGTGGACCTCTTCGGCCGCCAGCCTCCGGCCACCTGGATGCTTCTCCCAGCTAGACTCTGAACCACAAGGCAAATAATAGATCAACGTAAGATTATAATCAGGTTTTTATTTTCCCAACCCCCTACTGTCCAACCAAGACATTAAGTTGTAAGTTTTTAAGTTGCCCACCAGGAGGAAAAAAAAAAAGACTAAAAGTCTTCATGCCACAGTTTGGGTCTGGAGATCTTTTTAATCCATTTTTAGTTCAACATAAATGAGAAAGAAAAAAATACTTCTGACATTTTCAAAGAGCAGAAATAGGAAATTATATTCATATACATTCAACATATACGGCGCATATCGGTTACTACGATACAAAGCAATGATCTTTTACAAGTGTAGTTCGCAAGATGGCACGGTTTCTCGGCTCGCTGGCTCTCACCCGGGTGGTCGCTGGCGGAGGGCAGCCTGTTCTTCCATCAGCACAGTACCACGTAAACAGAACAGGCTGAGCGTGGGAGCGAGGGGGCAGCGGGGCGGGGGTGGGGGGCCTGGGAGCTGGAACAAGCCCAGAGAAGTCACACAGTAGCTGTTCGGGCCTTCCGGGTCGCCTCTTCTGGTGAGGAACTGGAGGCCTCACCAAGCGGAGGGGAGATTGGGGACCATGGAAACACGGGGCAGATCCCAAGAAAGGCTCTCACATTGCAGAAATCCACTCGCGGGATCTCAGGTCCAGGAGCTGAGCTGCCAGTATCCGTGAGAAGGACAAGCTGCATGGGAATCCTGTTGGCAACACCAGGACGGCCATGCTGGACACCCGCTTTCTTCTGTGCAAATTCAGGAGGAAAGACTAGGAGCAGACTGAGGACCCTTCACTCTGCTTTCCCAGGAAAAAGGATCAAGAGTCAGAATGTTGAACATCTCCTTCCTGCCTTGAAGATTGGAAGGAGAGGGGCCAGATGCTCTGTCAGCCCCCAGCCGGCAGAGAAGACTTTGGTTTCTAACAGTGAAGAAACACAAAGAGAGCGGCTAACGGTTGTGTTGCGTGTGCACTGCTTCCCCAGGGTGGGGGAAGGGGACCACTACACCTGTCACGGGCACAGGTTAAGAGCTGCTCACGAGTACAACGTCTACATAAAATACTTGGAACAAAAGGTGCAAGTCACAATTCAAATAGAACAGAATCTGGTTAAACATTTCTCTTTTAAACAAAAATTCCTTTTGTTTTTATTTATTAATAATAATAACAACAATAATAATAACAATAATATCAACATTTACCCAAAACAATTCCTACATGATCAAGAATTAAAATAGGGGCGGAGGATGCCCGGGGAGGAGGAGAAGGTTAGGAGGGAGGCAGGGCCCAAGACAACCTCCTGCTCTTCTTGCCTGTGTCAAAGAGGCTGACAGGGAAAAGCGTGTGCGTGTGTGTGTGTGTGTATGTGTGTGTGTCTGAAGAATCACCCTATGTATATAGCACATGATAAAATGAGAATGACAGGTGACAAGCATCGTGCTGGGTGTTCAGTCTGTGGGTAGGACCAGCAGGATGATAAAGGCAACCAACCTTCCAGGTTGTCAGAGGGGAGCTGAGTTACACACCGAAGAGAAGGCTTCCACTAAGACATTCTGACTGGTGACTGCCCAAGGCCAGGCCACCCGCGGCCTCCATGCTAATGGTCTGATGTGACTTTGGCCAGGCCAGACACGTTTTTCATGGGATCCCAGTGGTAAAGACCTTCCCAGCTCCCAGGCTTGGGGGTTCGTTTTGTTTTTTGCTCTCTTTCTGGTTTCCAAGCACCAGGGGTTGTCACCCCTTCCTCTCTCCCTTTCCCTAACCACTAAGGTTCCAGAGTTGTTATGGGTTAGTATTTGCCTCTGTGGATCAGCAATGGGAAGGAATGGAGGCTGCTGGGATTGGGGGGAGGCAGGGGAGGGGCGTGGCTCTGGGTCTCCTGGCCTCTGTAGTTTTAACTGCTTTGTTCCTCTGTCTCAACAAAGGAAAGAAAGGGGGAAAAAAAATAAAAAGAAAAAGGAAAGGAAAGAAAAAGAGAGGGAGAAATAAAAGAGAGAAAATCATCTCCAGAAGAACACATACCAAAAAAAAAAAAAAAGAAAAAGAAAAAAAAGCTCAAACCAAACCACCAACTCAAATATACCAAATACGCTTTCACAAAAGGTGGCAAACACGGATATCCTGTTTATTTCCTTGGTGACTTGGTCATACAAGCAAACATGGCGAAACCCCCTCAGAACCCAAAAGAACCGCACACTGATGAACCAGTGTGAGGAAAGGAGCCACGACATTCTGGGTGGACAGAAACACAATGGCAATTTGGCGCAATGCTGCTAGATACTGTCGGTGTAAAGTCGACCTTCCCATCCCCGAGCTGTACACACACCTGCAACGGAGCAGACACGGGGGAGGTTCAGGGTACAGCCAGAGGCTCAGACGTTCACACGAAAACGTTCCCAGCGTGCAACTGGCCCCCCTGACCTCAGGAATTTGAGAGGGTTGCCGCGCTGAGGCCCGAGGGTGGGTTTGCCAGACGGCCTTTCACTCATGGGCTTCTGTCAGAGTTTTCAAAGACAGAAGCCATGCTACCTACTGTGTGTTTAGGCGTGACACGAGCCGAGCCGGTCAGTGTACCTGTTTCCTACCACTGGCCTCTGCTCGCCTAGTTCCCCCGTCTGGAATGGCCTTCCACTTGCTGCATGGCCTTGGAAACTATGGCCAGACGCGTTTTCTTGCGGGGTTTCCTGCTTGGGGACTGAGGTCAAGGACCGTCTTCTCCTTACTACCGTGTCCAGAGGTCCCCTGTCCTCTGAAGCCCTAGCTCACTTACTGATTCTATGTTTCTATGGCGCCCACAACATGTGTCTTCGCCCTGTAATTAAACCAAGGGACTGCGGCCAGCATGCACCCCTTATGTGCCCTACCCACTCCCCAGAACATCCGCACAGCTTCGTCTGACAGAACAGGAAGAAGCGAAGACCAAGGGGGTGGGGGGCGTGGCGCCGTCAAGTTCACGGGCTGCCACACACAGAAGGAAGCCCTGGAAAGACCAGGAGCTGGCACTGGGCCCGAGGCTGGGTCGGGCCCTGGGAGGCGATACTCACTCTCCGTTTCCTGTTACACGCCTGCCTGTTCCATGCTGAAGGAGACCTCTGGGTGCTTGTAGCTGAGCAGGATGTCTGTAATGCATGTGGATGGGTAGCAAGAGGAGTTTAGATGCTGGCTGCCATCAGTCAAGTCGGGGTGCTCATGACCCATTAGATTCTCCCTGCACTCTGCAACACCAGAAAGAACATGTGCAATTTGCAGCTGGGGGGTTGGGGTGGGGGGTGGGCAAGTGGGGTAAAGGAGGACGAGAAATTGGAGCCCCCTGGAACTGGACCCCCGGGCCTGCATTCTAGCTCACAGCAGGCCCTCCGCGTGCTCAGTAGCTGCGGGCTGGGCCAGGATTCTTCCCAGACTCTCCGAGGGTTCCACTTTACCCTGTTCTTTTACTAACTCCCACCTCCGCTACCAACCACTGCAATGTGGAAGCAAACAGAACTGGTCCTGCAGTTCTGCAGGCCTGCAAGTTCCCTTCAAGATTTACCTCTCGAAGGGACCTGGCCGTTTTCCTGCTAGCCGGCTCCAAGCGATGTTCTACACACTTTATCCTCACTAAGCCGGTTAACGCTCACCCACCAGCTAGGATCTAGGCTCTATGGTTCCTGCCACTTTATGAGGGAGGACCCTGGGGGCTCAGAAAGGTCAAGTGCCTTGTCTGTGGAACCTGTAAAGGGCAAAGTCAGGATTTCTTGCAGACCTGTCCATTCCAAAAGCCTATGCTTTGTATCCATAGGGATAGCCTCCCGTTACTGGTGCCAAGGGGAGGGAGACAATCCTTTACAACACAATGCCTTCTAATCAGAACTAGAAAAATAGTTACTGAAGCAGTATCTGATCGAAGCATTACAAAGACAGATGTGAAACCCCTGCACTCAACTACAAAATACAATCCTTTGTGCGCTCATTCTCGACGGAGAGAAGTGTGAAGGCTTTGGGTTCAGACCCCATGGGGAAGCCAAGGCTTCCCATCTTCCCGTGAACCCTTTACACAGAAGAGGAGAAGAGTCACCAGCGAAGAGTGGGGAGGGGTGCCTCATGCAGAAGGCCCCTTACCCTCATTGTCCCCATCTTGAAACTGCTGGCTTCCCATGAGCGAGGACTGACTGAGAACCGCATCTGACATCCGGGCAGAACTGAGCGCTTTCCCAGCCACGAGACTCATTCCCGGCAAGGTATCTAGCTGCACCTGCAGAAAACAATTAGGAAAAGAAGTTAGGATACCAGAGAGTGTGCCACTCCCGGGTGACCCTCAGAGCTAGCGGTTCCCTCAAATGGAGCACAAAGGGCAGCCTCGGGCCCCCCTCCCAGGTTGGACCACCTAGACTCCCTCCACGGTGCCTTCCAAATGGGAAGGCTGCAGGGGTGACAGCGCGGGAAGCCGCCTCACCTTCCCCTGTGGGGTGGGCGTGGGTGGGGGAGGGCACGGCAAACCTCAGCTGGTGGCCACAAGCCCGTGGCAGCGATACGGCGTGCCCAAACCAGGTGCTGACCCATCCCCAGCACCCCAAGGGCTTGGTCTTAGGACAGCGCTCCATACCCGCCCTGTCCAGCATGGAGCCACCAGTCCCAAGTGGCTACCAAGTATGGAAGTGTGTGATTAGTGTGACTGAGGAACTCAATTTCTAAATTTTATTTCATTTTAAATACACATGTATTTGACGGCCACATGTGTGCTACGGTATTAGACCGTGCTGCCCTAGGGAAGCAAAGTCTTCCTGAGCCGGATTAGCTCCCTTTATCTGAGTAAGTTCAGCGGAGCTGTCAGGAAACTAACCAAGAGCCTAGGGGTTCATCTGCTTGAGCTGGAGCTTGGACGGTTTTGGGACAAGTTCAAGAACTCTGCCTGGAAGGAACAGAGAGCAACTACTCGATTCCTCAGGCTAAAGTTGGGAGCACAGACTCAACTGGTCTGCGAGGCTCATTCAAAGCCAAGCTTGCACAGTTTCCAGAGGTGCTGGACTCTGGTTGAGCAAAATGGAAGGGCAGATGTGATGCCACATTCCCAAGTTCTGTTGTCAAGGTCAGGACTGGTAGGGTCCTACTTCTGAGAAGCAGCAGGGGGCCAACATACATAAGCATCATCACTGTTCTGGATCGTGTGGTGTCTCTGGAGGGTCCGGGGCCTGTGGTGCTCGCTGACAGAGGGGCGAGTTGGGTACCCAAGTCCATTGTGATCCGGTAGCTCCATTGCTTGTCCTGGAGAACTTCTATCCATGCAGTTCCCTATGACAGACTCTGAGGAGACAGAGCAAAACAGGGTCAGCAGATCTCGGCTTTCTCCCAACATTGTCAACTCCCATCAAAGAAATGTCTGGCCAGAGGTAATGAGCAATGGTGAGGCCCCCGTGGCATGGTCTGCTAATCCTCGGCTGGCTAGTGATGGTGCTCACAGATATACACACCTCTTAATGGAGGGCTATAAACCCTCCCAAGAAAAATTCCATACAATGGCGGTTGCCTGGATCACTCCGAACCTTTTCTTTTTTCTTCATTCCTCTGTTGCCTTGATAGTGCTGTTTCCCAAACCCACATGCACACAAGAATCTTTCTTGGAGCTTTCAGGAACCTCTACCCCGGAGAACGGCCTCTGTTCTGTGGACGCCTTCTCTCTCCTTCCCTGGCTTCCATCCACCTCAGCGCACCGGCCGGGGCCCCTCTTCTATGGTGTGAACTGCCGTCCCCAGCTGCTTCTGGCTCCTCCACAGTTAATAATTCTACCTTGCCCTCCTCTCTCTCCTCACACTTACTTTGGTAATATCACCTATTTTCATGGCTTCAACTACATTGCTCTGGGTAAAGAATGACTGAAACGACGTTTTAATAAAGCTCTAGATCTCTAATTCCAACTATTTACTCCATATCTTCCCCCGGAGAGCCAGGCGACATCTAACACTTAAAACGGGCCCAGCTCCAAACTCATCAACACCTCCCACCCCGGGTCCTCTTTCAGACGTTAAATCTTGTTTTGGTGCCTGTTTTCCTAACCTTCCAGATGTGAGCTCATGGGGTCCCCTGTTGACTCCCCCCCTCCCCCGGTTCCACATCACCTCAAGCCTAAAGAATCTACTGCTGCCATGTTGGTCACTTGAGTCCTCCTCCTTTCCAGACTCACTGCTTCCTCCTCTTGGCTGAATTACTGACCAGCCCTCCTCACCATCCCTGATCACCACTCTACAAAGGTTCACCTTTTCACAGGTTAGCCCAAACAGCTCGTTTTCGCAATGCTGTCCCAGCCCACTTTCCAGCGAGTACCTCGCATTGCCCTCCCCCGTGTGCTGGCTTCTAGTCAAACGGGAGCACGTAAGTCTTCTCCAACCACTCACGATTCCATGCAAGTAGCCTCCCTGTGCCCTCTCCCTGGAAATGCGCGCTTCTCCTTCCATTTCAGCCGATCCAAATCAACTTATCCTCCTGGGTCAATCTCAAATGTTAACATCTTGATGAAACTTTCCCTTTCAAACAGAAAAAGATCCTTGCTTCCTTTAAGTGTCAGAAAACTTTATAAAACGTTATTATGCTAACATTATTCCTGACACCATGTTCAATTGCGTATTTGCGTTAGCTGTTCATATTAACCTGTATTTCTCTGAGAACAAGAACTGTATCTCATGCATGTCTGTGAGCCTTCAGTAGTGTTCCAGAACAGTGTCCCACACCCAGTAGGTAAGCAATCCTTAGCTCTTTAATAGATTTTAATAAATGCTATCTTACTATGGGTTAGTATCGTCAGAGTCATGTACACTATGGACTGGATTTTGGAGAGAAGAGTTCGAGAGGACTGAGTATTTCCTCTTGACCAAGAGTGGTCAAGAAGAACACCAGGACTACACCCAAGTTGACGGGATCCTCCTGGTAGCACTTTTGGCTCTGGTCCTTAAGAGCCTGGCACTTGAACATATAGTTTTGTGCTTGATTTTTTTCAGTCGAAGCTCCTTGGCCACCACTTGCCTTATCTTCTGATGAACTCTACCCTGGCAAGACCAGGTTTTTAAAAAGTTGTCAGTAGAAGACATGGCCCTCATGCAAATCGTGCCATTCCAAAGATCTGTTTGAATAACCAAAGTAAAATATACCGCATTGAGTGATGGGTAAGGGTTTTAGGTGTCCATATTCAAAAGGTCTCCTACAACAATCCAGGTTAGGCCCGGCTCAGAGGCTGAGGTAGGATGGCAAGGAGGGGAACCAACTGACAAGCCGTGGCCAGTAACACAGCATATTCTGGAGAAAAAGGAGAGGAGGGAGGCTTCCCAATGGCCAAACGTGAAGTCAAGTGAGAAATCTTTTGGAAGTTCTCTGAGCAAAGAGGCCAAAGAAAGTTAAGAAGCCAATTCTTTTGCTACTGAATGCTGAAAGCCAGAAGAGAGGGGAAGAGGAGAGAGCGCCTCTGCCGGGCCTTACTGCATGGGCCAGTCCTCATCTTGGCCACGCCACCCGAGTCCTTTTGGCAGGCACAGCTCTCGCGCTCACCCCAGGACTAAGGAAAGTCACAGGCAGGAAGTGGTGCGGCCCAGGTCTGTGGTCGGCTTTGCCAGGAAGCGACACAAACAGCGGCGGCTTGCTTTCTCGAGGTATTTCTTCATGCCTATCTTCCTTCTCTGACCACTCACACCATCCACTCACTTCCCTGGGGTTCTTTCCCGCTGGCTGCGGAGCTGGCTGCAAAGCTCATCCACGGCACCCCAGCTCCGTCCAAGACACGCGCGCCCCCCTGTTGAAAGACTGCCTCGAACATGAGGCAACAGCAAAGCTAACAAAATGTACACGTTCTAGATCTTGAAAGTGAGCTTCTTCCCACCTCTTTGAGAGTTTATAGTCTCCTTTCCCTCTCTTTTTTTGAGCTTATTTTTATTCCTGAGACTGGGGTTTCTCCAAACCCAAACACCCGCCCTTGTCTGGGCCCTGCTGCTGGGAAGGCCACGCTCTTCCTGACCCTTGTGTCCAGGGCCAGCACGCCTGACAAGGGTCACCACGGCGGGGAACTGTGCAGCGAACCTTGCTGACTCCCTCGTCTAGAGCTCAGGGGCACAAGCTTTGGGGTCAGGGAGGTGTGGGCTTGAATCCTGGCTTTGCTAGGACTCCTGAGGGGGGGGGGGCGTGACGCAAGCCCCCTGAGACTTCCCTGGGTCTCACTCCACGGGTCCCCACAAGCTCGGTGCACTGGGGGAGCTCAGCCAAGCCTGGGGTCACTTACGTACTCATTCCGGAGGTGCTGGTTCTGAGGGCACAAGGTGTACCGGCCCAGCGGACAAACACAGACAAGGAAACCCTACTTCCAGAATTGTGGAGACAATTCACTCATGTGTATGGGAACAAAGGAGTCACTGACACTTTAACTTCTGGAGATTGGTTTAGGAGGTTGGCTGACTCTCCTCCGGTTGAGGAGAGACAGATGTAAGTTAAAAACCAGATGAAAACATGGCAGACTAACAGGAGTCAGGCGACACAGTTTCCGTGGAATCTGCAGGCCAAAGAGCCAGCAAGGCTGGCATCTGCGGCTGGGCAGATGGGTGTGCGGGGCAGAGCAGGAGGCGAGGAGGCACGACCCTGGAATCAGAACACTCGAAGTCGGGGTCCGGCTCTGTCCCCAGCGGTGACTAAGCGATTTCCCTATCTGAAAAACGAGGGCTGTTGGCGCGCTCCAAAGACAACACGGGTGAAAAGCTCTTGAATGAACTGGGAGGGATTATACGAGTCAAGTATCCTTTTTAAGAAGAATGCTGAGTCCTGAGTCCCCAGTCCTTTGTGACACTCCACAGAGACCTGCGGGCCTGCGGGAGGGGTGTGTGTATTTGGGCAGGACAGGGGACTAACCTACTGACCGAGGGACAGGAAATCCAGGCTCCAGTCTGGGGTCCCTTATGGCTCAAGAGCAGCTGGAGGAACGGTCAGGCTCACCGAAGGCGATAGAAATAACAGGGGAAAGAGGACCCTCCGGGAGCAGCGTCCTCGGGCACTGACCAAAGTCAAGCAGGGTGAGTGTGGGGGTGGCCACGCTATCACGCAGGGGCACATACAGGGAGGCCCCGTGCGCACCGCCCCCCTGCCCCGGGGACTCCGGGGGCAGCTTGCACAACTCTCTATTGAATCTGTCAATGTTGACTCGCCCTTACTCATTTACTGGGCTCTAAGAGAAAAGGAGAGCAGATATGTCATGTGTGCCTATTCCTCTCAAAGGTTCTGGGGGTGAACCCTCCCAGCCTGTCATGGTTTCACCCCTCTGTGAGGCCCGAGTCCACAAATATTGCTGAAGCTGGCAAAGCTCGGCAGCGGGGAGGGGAGGGCGATGTGGTTTTCTTTGTAAGTTCAGCTGTGATCTCGCTGTGTAAACTGATTATGCTATTGTACTTATTTATTTAGAGAGTAAAAAAAATCAAGTGCACTTAACAGCACAGAAGGGAGATAAACCTTCTTCCTCATTCTGGAGCAGCAGACAAGGGAGATCACAGGCAGCATAGGGCATGGACAGTGCTGGAAGCTCGCCACGCTCGAGACAGGCCTCTGGCGTGCGTGTGTTCGGTCTGGTGTGTTCGGCGCCCCGGCAGGGCCTGGTCCCGAACTGATTGGTAGCAAGCGGCCACGAAAGGGAATAGGAGTATAGCAGATGATCACCCCTGACCCCTGCTCATCTAGCCTTGCGAAATTTCAGCAACTCTCGCTCGCTCTATTCCGTTATACCTCTTACAGCGTTCATTCTGCAGCGCTTGGGGCTAATGCCGTCTCTGAGCTTGTCTTCCTTCCGCCAGCAGGGTGTAAGCTCCCCAAAGACAGGTTCTTTATCTTTCCATCCCTGCACTCTCCACAGCTCCTACAAGACCATCTTGTGAAACCTAGCCATTCAGTAAACTGCTGAATTTGCTGTCATGGGAATCACGGAGGAAGGGTCTTGGGACTTGTGTGTCACTACACAGAGATCGAAGGGTCATTCAAGGACAGCAGGCATTCCTTTCTGTCCAAAGAGGTAAACAAGCACGAGCCTCCCCCACTGGCCTGCAGGGGTGTGTGTGTGTGTGTCTGTGTGTGTGTGGCGTGGGTGGGGGGGCGATAGCATTAGAACCTTTGTTGGCAGAAGCGACAGCCAATTATCGGTGGTTCTTCGGTAAGGTAACACTATGAGCTCTCAAGTTTTTTAAAAAGGATAGAATCATGTCAGGTTAAAGCAGGAGAAGATGGTGGAGTCACGGTTTCTACTAGAAAAAGGATTGTAACATACACACACACACACAGAAAGGAGTAACCGAGCTGAGAGCTTCGGGCGTGGAACAGCAGTACTGCAGACATGAATTCCGTCCTTCTTCTCTCAGGGGGCATTTAGTTTAATGCTCCTCGTTACACAGAGGAGGAAAGGGAGGAGAGGCGATGTGCCAGGCCCTCAGTCACAGAGGAAGCTCGTGTTGTCTAAGGTAAGGACAATGGGGACAGCTCAGGGTAAGACGCCATTTTAAACACACAGATGTCCATGCCTGCAGGTGACCAGAACCCTTGAGCAGCACGGGGCCCTCCGAGGCCTGTCGTTTCCCTCTTGCATTATCTCACTACACCGGGTTATAAAATCACAGTCATCAACCTGCGGCTTTATTCATTAAAGACAATTATAGCTGTGGCTTCAAGAGTCACAGAATAGGAACAGATGTTAGAAAGAGACAAGATGGACAGTATTCAAGCAAGAAAATGCCTCTGTAGCTCAGTTAAAGAGGAAGTTAAAACTGAGGGTTGCTGGGGAATTAGGTCCCATGGAACGGAGCAGGACAGAAAGCTTTGCGCAGAGTCGGTTTATGAAGAAGACTCGGTGCTTTCTGGTTGTGCTTAGTAATGCATGGATAGGGAGGGACGTGGGCTTCCCTGAAACAGTTAAAACTCCTGGGCTTTTGAGGAAACGGGTGCGGTTCAGCTTAGAGGCCTGCACCAGTCAGACGTACTGAGTTCACTGGTGGCTGCAGTATTTGTAGATGGACAGAGGATGGTGAGAGATTTCAGAACCAGGTCACGTGTGGAACAGCTGACAGACCTGGCAATGTTTCAGCTTGGGAGGAAAAAAGAAACCAAGGAGAACCATCATAACCAGGTGGAAAAAAGGATTAGACTTTTTTGAGGTCCATATTATGGTCCAGGACAAAGATCAGGATAGAAGTGTCAGCAAATGTCAACTCCTGTGGAAGATCTTCATCAGAACTTTCTAGAATAAACTGCCTCAGCAGCCTGGGTGCTTTCTGCCACTGGGAGTGTCCTAGGAGAGGCAGGATGATGGTATCAGGAATACTATGGAAAATCTTCCCGTGTGAATGAAAGCTTTCACCAGATTAGCATACTATAGTCGGTATGAAAAGGAAGAGAATGGCTAACCTTTCTACATGTGCCTTTCTACATGTAACCTTTCCATGTGCCAGACACCCACTGCTACTCACATACAAGTTCATTTCATTCTCACAGCAGCCCTATAAGGCAGTAGCTCTTTCTGTCTCCATGTCGCCAATGAGACAAATGAGGCACAAATTAAGTAATTTGTCCCCAAGGTCAACTGCTAATAAGTGGCAGCTGAACCCAGGAGTTATTCCGTTCACTGCAGGAGATGCTGACTAAGCCCTCCTGGGTGTGCAAGGCAGTGAGGACCGAGCAAACCTGGGGACCTTAAAGGACAGGACAGGAGATGCGGGTAGCTCCAAGGAGGGGGAAGATGGAAGATATGCTAAGTTTCAAGGTGGTTTATTCTCTAGATAAGCTCATTTTCCATGATCTACGCTAACGAGATGGATGTCGGGGCAGCTTTTGTCTTGGACGAGTGCCAGAATGACAGCAGAAGGTTTTCGGAGTCTACTGACCGCTGGTAACCCTAATCTCCTTCAGGATGGAGATGGACGGGCTCGTGCATTGCACACAGTGACGCAGGAGAACACCGGGCATCCGAGGGTGCTGAGCTATTCCGTGTTCAGCTTATCGATGAGAAGAGCAGAGTAATAATAACACTCCACCTTTCCATCATCCTTGCGGAGCGGCAAGTGCTTCTGGCATCCTCATGTGCGCGTGTGCACATGCATTATCTCTCAACGCGGCACACTTATGAACGTCTTTCTCTTCCTAAATACTCTGCCAAGCACCATCATTCCTCCTGCCCATTTTTCAGAGGAGAAACCTAAGAACCTGAGGGTTTCAGTGACGAGGTTATGGCGTCCGTGATAGAGGCGAGCCTAGAACCGAGGGGTTTTTTGACTCTTGGTCCTGCCCCGTTCACACGAAGCCGTATTTCCTTAGCACTAGCTGATTCTGTTCTACTGCAGCAGTTAAAAGTGGGCTATCTTGATGACTGGGAATTCTGGAATCCAAGGAACCATGGTACGACTTAGGAGAAATAGGAACTCTCTTTACCAACTGGATTCTGTAAGCGCGAGTTTCCTACCGCTATCTTTTTACTTCGAAAGCATAACCCCTTATGGACCAGTGCCCGCTGCCTACACCCTTCTCCCCCAGGAGGTCCTGCAGGTCTTCGCCGGGATTCTTTTTCTCTTAGGAACACGGAGCACTGGCTGGAAAAAGACACCGTCCCCGAGTTAAGTGAATCCAGGCCGACTGGCCCGGGGCCGCTCACCCCTCAGGGGCTCTTACCTCGGCTGGACACCTTATTCCTACTGAACACGGCGGCCGGCTGATGTCGGTAGGGAGGCATCCCCAACTCCTGCGCGTGGCTCACAGTTCCCAGTAAAGACTCGGGGTCCCCGGGTCCACCAGTGCTCAAGAGCAGGGGGCTGTCGTGGCAACCTTTGGTCACTGTGTGTGAGCTCTTCCTGTCCGGGAAGCCGTCCTTGGCCGCCTCACAGGAACACTCGTCTTCCATGCTCTCGGAGCGCAGGAGGGCCGGCGGCTGGGCGTACCCATGTGCCGGGCTGGGGGGTGCCGCCTGCGACAGGCATTCCTGGGCCCTGATCTGCAGGAGATGCTGGGGGCTGGTGTGGTGGTGGTGATACGAGTCAGCATTTGGATACGGTAGAGCCTGGCGCTCTGTCATGGCCTGTGCCCCGAGACCGGGAGCCAGGCTCCCCGCGTCCCCCTGGTTCATGTGTCGGAACAGGTCGTGGTAGTCCTGCTGCTGCTGCTGCTGCCGCTGCCTCTTCACAAGCTGCGCAAACTCTGCCGGGGGCAGCCGGATGTCCGAGTGGCCGCTGAGCGAGTGCCGGGGGGAGAGCAGTCCCTGGAGGATGTGTGGCACCTGCTGGTGTCTCGTATAGTCTGGCGGCGTGGGGGACAGCAGGGCCTGCTGCAGGGCCGACGCCGTGTAGTGCGCTGGCTGCTGATGGGCGCTGGGAGGGAAGGTGGGGAATTGGTCAAGTGGAGGGACTTTCAGGGCTTGGGTTGGAGGGAACCCCACTCCTGTTGAAGGGCTGTAGCTGCTGGGGGAACCCTGGGACGGGTCCGAAAACAGATGGGGGTGTAAGTGCGCCTGGTCGTAGTTAGCAGGGGAGAACCGATTCACGTTCGAGCTGCAGACACAAAAGGGAGTGAGTACCAGGCATCCGCGTGACAAGTACGCTTGACTCCCCTGGGGAATAGCTACTCCTCTTCCTCGGTAGGGAGCCCCCCGCCCCCGAGGACAGGAACATGGGGTGTGACGGGGAAGATGGGGTGCACATGGCACCATGAGGGGGACAGCTCAGGGGACAGCTCCAGCTTTAAGAGAGTGACTTGGCCTAGTCTACAGCAGCTCTGAGCTACTAAGAAGCACCAAGCTCTCAGAGTGACAGAGAGGGAAAGAATCCTAAAAAAATGGATAAGGGGAACAGGCATTTTTAGAAATTCCTCCAATAGGCCATGTTGTTCTTTGCAGACAAATAGGAAGGTAGCTCTGTCATTTCCCTTCTCTGTCTCATTATTAGCACTTTGATACTGGGTCAATAAACAGGTTTCACGTTCATCCCAAACTCACTGCCCTGATGTCAGAAAGGATGAGATGAGCACAGCCCGGCCAGACTCACCCTCTTTCCCTTCTCCTCTCTTGCCCTGCTAAGGGGCTTCCCCCGACCCGGATCACCTGGACAGATGGCCTTACCTGTGGGCCTCTGCGCTGTCGGCGCTCAGCTGCTTGGACAAGGGGCGGTGCCCGTAGCTGAAGGTGGCCATCAGGCCGGCACGGTGCTGCATGTGGGTCTGAGCGGCGCTGGGGCTGATGGCGATGCCTCGTCCAGCAGAGCCTGCAGCTGTCCCCGGCACGCTGCTGAGCATGTCGACGGGCTCCTGTACTTGGATGGTCACCTGCTGTGACTGGGGAGGCTGCTGGAGGCCCAGGCAGGTTAGGGCCACGCTGGGAGGAGGGGAGCAGTTCTCGGGTTGCTGCTGGTAGACTGCACCGCGGGATGGTAAGCCCGGAAACTGGGAGGACGAAGCAGCGCCTGGAGAGAGACGAACCTCCGCGTGACCGAATGCCGGGTCACCTGCCGGCCAGAAGTAGGAGCCGGCGAGGACACTCACACTGACACCATCTAGATCAGCGCTTCGCAAACTGAAGTGTGTGGGAGACTCATCTGGAGAACTTGTTGAAGCACAGATTTCTGGGTCCTACCCACAGAATTCTGGGAGGGGTCCAGGTGGGACCCCAAGAACTTGTGTTTTCAGTAAGTGGCTGTGAGAGGCAGTCCTGAATTATTCTTTGAGTGGCTCTGATCTAGGGCAGAGCTTATCAGACTCAAATGCACATGAATGGCCCAGGAGCTTGCTGAAATGCAGACCGTGATTCAGCACATCTGGGGCGGGACCCAAGACTCTACTTTTCCAGCTGATACCATTGGCCGGCAGAACCGCACGTCGAGTAGGAAGGGCCTAGAGACTAATCCAGACCCTTCAGGGGATTTAGAGCGTGTGGTGTTACTTAAGAGGTTACCAATTTGGGGAGTACTCAATCCTCAGATCACTGGTCTCTTAAGACCCACCCACACAATGCGGGTACACTCACATCAACCTCCTCCTCAAGCCTCTCATGAGAGGAGCCCACGTGTACAACGGACAAGCAACCAGACAATGAGGGACGTTCTGGTAGCAGCTTTTTTTTTTTTAAGATTTTTATTTATTTGACAGAGAGAGAGATCACAAGTAGTCAGAGAGACAGGCAGAGAGAGAGGGGAAGCAGGCTCCCCGCCAAGCAGACAGCCTGATGTGGGACTCGATCCCAGGACCCTGAGATCATGACCTGAGCTGAAGGCAGAGGCTTAACCCACTGAGCCACTCAGGTGCCCCTGGTAACAGCTTTTTTTTTTTTTTTTTTTTAAAGATTTTATTTATTTATTTGACAGAGAGATCACAAGTAGGGAAAGAGGCAGGCAGAGAGAGAGGAGGAAGCAGGCTCCCTGCCGAGCAGAGAGCCCGATGCGGGGCTCGATCCCAGGACTCTGAGATCATGACCTGAGCCGAAGGCAGCGGCTTAACCCACTGAGCCACCCAGGCGCCCCTGGTAGCAGCTTTTTTATCTGGTAGGGTCGAGAGGGGATTTCTTGAAAATACTTGTGATAGTTAACCTTTATTGAAAACTATCTCATGCCAGAGACTAAGTGCTTTTCATACGCATATTCATTAAATACTGGTATTGTCCCTATTTTATATTGGAAGAGGCTAAGGCACGTGGACGGCGCACAGCGAAGGCGTCCCTGGGACCCGGCTTCAAACCAAGGCCTGCCTGGCTCGAGTGCCTGTGTCCTTAGCTACTAGTGCGCGCCTGTGGCGCTCACGACTAGACTCATTTTCTGCACATGGCTTAGCAGGGCTCCACGCCAACCCCCGCACTCACCGTGAGACGGGATCATGGCACTGTTCATGGGGGGAGGACTATTACTGGGTGGTCTGAAGAGATGGTTGTTGGGGTGGTTGGGGGGTGGGCTTGAAGGCTGAATCCTTAACCTTAAAAAACAACAAAACCAGATAAATAAGTAAATTTCCCGAGGTGACAGTATAACCTTGGCCTTACTCTCAGTCATAAGCTACACAAATGCAGAAACGGTTTAAGTTTTAATAAGCCTCCAGGCTAGAGAAGCATACATACAGCCCCTCACCACCCCTCAGTGTCCATAAGACCTATCCAAGGCTCAGTTTGCCAGGCTTCCCAAAGAGAGACAGAGGCCATGTGGGCCTGGGACTTGGCCTGTATGACTGTCAGATTACTCTGTCTGTGGGGCCAAGAAAAGGAAGTGGCATGGGACTGTATACAGTCAGGATTTCAGGGAGACAGCTACCATTGAACCCGATCTCTCTGCTTTTCACAGAGGTTCTTCCAGGATGAATGCTAAAGCCAGTCACTCTCTCCCATCAGAGGCAGGCCAAGGATGGCAACTATAGAGACAACGGCTGAGGCGTGAGACAAGTGATTCATTACCTCTGGAGCTGGTGGGTAAGGAGGGCTGGCTGATTTTCACACGCAGCCTGAAGAGGTGGAGAAGGCTGAGGAGGACAGATAGAATCCTAAACATATGGGGAAAAGGAGAAAAAGAATTGTCAGCTTGAAGATCCGTCAGAGCTGTTCTCAGGAAGGGAAGAAACGGCAAGAACTATCTGTGACTGAGGTTTATGCTTCTGTGGTTCGGCCAAAAGTCTGATGACCTTTCCTCAAACACGTCAACCACAAACATAACTCCACTCTGCTCTGCGTGATCTCCTCCAAAATTCACAGGCAAATGAGCCTGCGCGCAAACTCCAAACAAGCTGGAGCTCGAAGAGTGAAGGCCTACTTGGATGTGCTGCTGGAGAATTTGCTGGTGCTGCTCCTGCTGGTAGAGCACATGCTGCTGCTGGGTCTTCTCCAGGGCTCTCTCATCCATCTGCCCCCCGTACATCTTCTGCAGCTGCTCACACTCCTGCAGGGAAAGCAGGTGATACCGGCGGGGTGCGGCCAGGCCCTCCCTGTGCGGTCATGGCAGCAGATGCAGATCTGCCCCAAGGTCTCAGGGGCAGAAAGAGCCCCAAGAGAAGAACAGTGTCCTTAATGAGCAACCGACCCAGGTATGTAGGTATTCGTGTCCCCAGTACGTTCACATTCCGGGCTGTGTGAACGAATGGAAGACACCCAGGGTGGCCCGTGGGCCAGTGGAAGTGTCCGCTGTGAAATCTGCGTACAGAGCACCTGTCGCTGGAAGCCTGGTCCTCGGGAAGGCAGAAAGGAAACCGGCCCTTTACGGAAGCCTGGAGGTGCCCTTCCTTCCTCTGGGAGCACCGGTCCGTGCCCGCTGGAGAGTACTCCAGGGGCTAACAATGCCAAGCAGGCTCCAGTAGGGCCCGGCACCACAGACGATGCGAGGAATGCCACGGTTGCTTAGGAGTGCCTTCCCGGGGGCTTCCCACCAAAACCCACGGCCAGAAATCCCTCTCTAAAAGTCACAGAGACAGGAGGGAAATCTGGGCCCTTCATGGGGGGTTGAATGTTTGAGCCTGGGGAAAGCTGTACATACCAAGGAGTAAGGAAGGAGCGTTAGGAAGCTACATGGATCGGAACCTCGACACGGACAGGGCAGAGATATGCCACCCCGGTCCTCCACACGCTACTGCTCTGTGCTCCCCGCGCTCCTGCAGAGCTGCCTGCCGCCTCGCCCATTACCTGCTGCAGCTGTTTGATGCTGCTGCTGTCGGCCAGCTTTTCCAGGTGAGCTTTGAAGGCCTGGATGCTTGCAGCCCCGTCTGAGAACCGGCGCACGGGGGAGAAACGCTCCGTGGGGAGGTGCAGGGTGTTGGAGTCCTTGTAGGTAGAGCTGAATATATGGGAAGAGAAGGTTAGGGGCGAGCACTCAGGGGCTTGGACCAAATCACCCAGGGACTGCGGTTCCAGAAGAACGCAAAGGTGGCGGGCTACACGCGCAGCCTGCACATTAGGCCATTTCCCGGCCGTCTCCGGAGGCCGGCCGTTGCCCTAGCCTGCTGCCCTTCCGAGAACTCCAGCTGCACGGCTTCTATTTCCACTTACCTTAGCGGGCTTACTTTCCACGCCCGGGGAGGTGCTGGGATCAAATACATCCAGTTCTTACAAACAGACTAGGTCAGAGAACAGAGCTTCTCAACGGCCCTCAGGCCAAGCTGCACAGGAGATCTGGCTTTCATACTCATGTCTGTCTAGTGCCTTTTGAAACCTCAGATTCACTGTTTGACCAGTTTCACTGAGCAGCGCTCTCCGAATGACCAGAAGGGAAACTATGGTCAGCTTTGTGGCAAAGGCCTGGCTCGGAAGTCAGAGGTTCTGGGCTAGAAAGTAGGAGGGTGGAGGTAAACGGGAAGATTTGGGGACTTCGGATCCCCAGACGGAGACGGCACCCTCTTAAGGAATGCGGGCCTCAAGATCCAGCGTGCGCACAGGGCCAACGCAAATACAGTCGGCCACCGTGAAAATTAACTTCCCAGAGCAGCACGTCTCCCCCTGGCCTCCTAGCGAAAGAGGAATCGTGGGGCCAAAATCCCACCGCTCAGTCCGAACAGAGCCGGTATCTTACGGGAAGAGCAAGCTATGGATAAGGAATGCCTAAGACAGCAGGGGAGTTAGAAGCGAACACCTCTCCTCGCTACCTAATCAGAAAGAGATGTGTATGGGCTGAGGTAAGCAGATAAAAGACCGCCAAGGCGGCATTCCAGCGGCTGATGGAAAGGATCAGGGTTTCGTGTTCAGGGCAGAGATGATCTCACACTGAACTATGGGTGAAATGATGCACCCCCTTGCCAGCTACTCCCTCGGACCTGAAGCAGAGCAAGTAAGAAAGCGGGTGGACAAGCGAGTTCAAATACAGTGCAGATGGGGGGGGGCGGGGGGGCACTGATGACTGTGCGGAGCGGTCTGGGGGTGTGGCGTGGGGGCAAGCCCTTTACCCTCTCTTTGCTAACGATGACTTTGGGTTCATCTACAGGAAGTTTGACACAGTGGTGCGCTGATGAAATGAGCACAAACACACGTGTGGGACACAGAAGACGCATGGTTTTGGCAGACACCCTCCAGAAACAGGGATCACTGCCTTCAGGAGTGCTTCCTCGGTACTTCCTATGTCTGTTTCTACTCCAGGGGTCTGCAGCCAAAGCCAGGAAATACTATTTTCTCCTAACATTTGACTCCTATGCTTTCACTATTTTCTGACGATGGACCCATTTCTGATGGACTCAGAAAGCTGTGTTCTGTAGGGGTTCACTCTGCACAAAACCCGCCCTCCCCCCTCAGAGCCGCTCGCCCCGGCCCGGGTACTTCGTGACTTTTCCAGAAGCTCGGGCTGTGCAGTCACCGGCCCTGGCCAGTCGGACACAGGAACGTGGGAGGAAGAGTTCCGACGGAGCCGCTCGTTTCGGAAGCACTCACAGGATCCACTGTGTTTGATTTTTCTTTGCAATCATGTTCAAACTCCAGAGAGCCCCGTATCAGACTTATGTTCCTACTACACTTCTCAAACAGGAACTTGGTTCCCCACCTAGATAAAATCCATTCTGTGTTCATTTTTTTTTTTTAATTACACTTTACATTTTTTTTTAGCTTTTAAAATTACATTTCCAGGACCTGAGTGATCAGAGCCCTCTTCTGTCTCCATGCTGGACTTCATGAATTATACCCCAGAAGAAGAGATGTCTATATGCTGTTCTTGGACCATTTCCTCCGGAAAATAAGAGGAACTCAATCATCTGTCTAGGCCACCCACTTCCAGGGTTTTCTGGCCCTGCAAAGGTGCGCTTGTCCTCTGCAGATTACCTTCAGTCTCTCGTGTTGCCGTGTCTTTACAGGAATCCCATCAAGACAGGCTGAGCGTGCATAAGTGCCCCGCCTGGCACAATCTGCCACTTGTCAAGCACTCATTCCAGTTCAAACTGGCTTGGCCACAGGAAACCCTTGAAACACTCCATCACGAGTGTTCACACGAACACAGACGGCAGACACATTTCCAGCAGGCAAGGCCTTGGCGGTGACGGTAGGCAGGGTGGCAACCACACAAACAGGGAGCTGTGGCCGACGTGGCCGTCCTCACTAGACACACGGAGACAGGGGAGAGGACCCATGATAGAGGCGGACTGTGGAAAGGGGCCGATCTCCACGTATCCCCGACAGGAGGATCTCCTGAGGAACACGCACAATGAAACGAGGATACCCGAGGGACTTGGGCTGAACAACAGACCCTGACAAAGGTGTGACAGCTGTCAGGCTGTGGGGGCAGGGAAGACAGAGACAGGGAGAAAAAAGAAATAAAGGTTCTGCTGGGTAATGGTGGCGGGCTCAGAGTTGTTGAGAAATCACGGAAAACTGAAGCCGGGGTGTTGGTAGCAATGACGGGCAGGGTGTGTGGCAGGAGGCACCTCTCCAACCATCACCCCGAGGACCTTCTCTTGCAGTGCCCTCACCGTTTAGGTCCTGAGAGGTTTTCCTGAGGAAACTACTGCCTCTCTGCACCAGCATTTTGGTTGGAGAGCCATCATTCCCGCTCCTCTGACCAGACCATTCTGAGTGTTATTCAAGGTCGTCTCTAATAGCTTATCTCCCTTCTCTCGGACTGCCAACAGGGCACTCATTCAGTCTCCGTCTGTGCAGAGTCCACGGCCTCTGCAGATTATAAGGATGCCTGATGGGTAACTCGCCACAATAAAAACATTGTGTCGAGCTCGCTAGTGTGAGCTGGTTGTGAGATTTCATGACAACACCTTTATAAACTTCATCTCCTTGGAACCTGACTGCTTTTCTCAAGTAAGACTGCTTTCATTGTCCTCCCAGCAAGACTGACATAAGCTCAGCGGGTGGTGGTGCCCTGGAACGTGTGGCCCACGAGATTGGGGATGGCGTTAGAGGGGATACAGCTAAGGATCTGAGTCATTCACAGAAGGTGATCACCTTCTTAATCCCGCCAAGTGTCACGCCCCTGAGCTTCCAGGCTTACTTGGATTCAATTGTAGGAAGCTATCTCAGCCAGGAAGGTGAAGCTTGTTATTTCTTCAAGAGGATGAATTAAAAATCTAAGAGAGACCTAGTAAAAGACTTCAGCAGTCAGAGTGTTGTTGCAAGAATGACTTCTCCAGCACCACACTCAAGAGAACGCTGTACCTCTGCTCTACCATTCACAAAGGGATGTACCTTCCTGCATGTCCAAGTTCACCGTTCAGTGGTGACATGATAAGATATGCTCATTCTTTTGAAGGTGAGGGGTTACGAACGGTCAAGTCTACCGATAAGGCTACAAATCCTCCCATGTCCAGCTGTCCTCTGAGAACTTCACCTCCTCGCAGGTTTCAAGTTCAAGTTCATCTACCAGTCAGTTCCCGGAATCACGAGAACCAACTGCAGACCGTAAACATGTCTACGAGGTAACGGGGAAGAAGAATCTCCCACGGCCCTGTGCCCTGCTCGGTGCGAGGAGCTGAGAAGATGTAAGCTCAGGATGCTACTGAAAGCCTTGATGCTCGTCGCCATCACTTGGAAGATTAGCAAGAAGGGTGCCTGCCCGATGAGCCTCAAGGAGCTCACATAGCTCACGTGGCTACTCACCGATGCTGATCAGGTACCAGGTGAGGGGGCCAGACCCGGGAACGGAAAGGCTGCTGTCCTAGCTGCCGTTGTAGGTCCGGTGGGATCTCAGCTGTAGGGCTGGTCATGGCCAGTGTATGTCTTTTGGACCTATTTGCCAAGTACCTACAACAAGCAGGAGCACATTTCACAGTAAAACAGACAGACAGGAACATCCTCCGCAAGAAGCATTAGAAGTTAATCCAAAGCGCTCAGAATGAAGCAGTGCCAGAGCCCAAACAGGGCTCCATGGCAAACAGACCCCTGGCTGGATGGAAATGAAACATGGCCAGCTGGCCAACGAGAGCGGGCTTCCCACTCAAGTGGCTGAACTTCGAACCCAAGAGTAAGCCACGAAGAGAAGAGAGAAAACAGATGTGGCTCACAAAGAAGATCGATTTTCCTTCCTTCGTTCCATTCGCGAGAAGGATTCATTTCCCATTTGTTAATTTTATCCTTCTTGTCCCTCCAAATTCTAAAGTACAAGGCAGAGGAGATGAGCCCTAAGGATTATTCCTAGAGATGAGCCAAGAGAGAGAGATATTCAGAAGGACTCCACATGCGTCTCTAGACCTCACCGGCCCCCCCGGGTCCTCACTTACAAGTCACGGCAAACAGATCCTTCCACTTGAGGATGAGGGATTTCCAAAACTAGCCCACCTCTCATGCCCCAAGATTGTAAGTCAGTCATCAGAGAAGAAAAACTGATGTTGTCCCAAGGGAACCATAGTCTCTAGAGGATGAAGAAATGAAACACATGAAATGTTCAGAATTGTTTTTTTCTAGGAGGCAAGGCAAGAAACGGAAGTTTCAAGGCAAAGGAGTGGACAAGCTGATGACTTTGATTCTAAAGCTCTATCGGATGTACTACGAGTTAATGCCAAAAATAAGCCATGGGTCCCCCTGCCTCTAGCTGATGGCTGCTCTTCTTGGGCACATGTAAAAGAAGCATTATCCCTCTCCATGACGTCAGGACTGAGGGGCACTTTACCCCTTAATGTTAGTCTAAAGAAGAAAGAAGGTGGAGCCAGAGGAAGTCAAGTCCAAGGCAAAGAAGACAAAGTGAGCCGCCATTGTCTAATTAAGGGAGAAAGGCAGGAAGTTCCCTAATTTTTTTTCAGGACACCAGCAGGGGCCCATTTGCAACATCAAATACCCTATTATCAGCAAACTATAGAGACAACAGCATAGAGAGGGGGGAAAAAAAGGTCGAGATGATTCTTCTTCTGTTGGCTGAACCACAGGAGGAGCTGACCCGCCTGCCACCACCCTGCTCTCCCCTCTTCTTTTTGAACGCAGCCCTCATACAGAGCTACCGGGGGTAAAGAAGAGAGTTCCGGCCAGCAACCGTCAGGTTCCGAAAAAGTGGTTTTGCTTTGTTCTTAACTACTTTGCCTAAGTATTTAAGCTAAAAGCAGTTAACAGACTATAGGGCAATGAGTGGTATGTAAACTTGCCAAAGAGTGAGCCATGAGCGGTTTAATACCCATTTGATAAAGACACCCAAAGTTCCCCCAAGAGCCCATGAAAACCATTTTATTTCAACTTCCCTCAAGGGAAAAACATATAATTTTGAAGAACACCTGTATTTCTGGGAAAATACATGCTGGATTCTGGTCAAACCCCCCTCCCCGGAAAATAAGAGAGACGACTCCCACAGGGGGGCATGCACGGAGCTGTGGACCACGGCTAACGGGGCTGAGGGAGAAGGAACAGTACAGCGTGCCTGACGGTCACTGCCGTTTTCTGTGAATTAGGCATCTCTCACCAAGGTTCTGCAAACAATGGGTATTTGCCTTTGTCCCTGGCCCGAATCCCACATTCCTCTTTTCATTATCTCTTTGTTGGCACGGGGATGGAAGAAGCATGCAGCAAACAGTACAAGAGGCATTCATTCTCCTGGGAAGGAAGAGTCCATGCCAGAGGTCCGTGGCCAGACTAGCTAGGATCACTGTCATCCCAAATCTCCAATTCCTTTTCAGTAAACAGTTCTTGGCAGGTAGGAGCGGGCTTTGCGCCTTGTGAATACTATCAGAGTTGCAATATGAAAGCAGGGGGCAAATAAGGAGGGAGGAGAGAAAAAGTTCTCATGGTTATTGCTGTCACTTAGGGGACTTCCAATGGCGCTTACAGAAATGACATTTTCTGGGTAGTCTTCTGTTACTTCCATGTGGGGAGGAACATGCCATCTGGCTTGAGCAAAGAGACCACACAAATGTTGAAGCTGCACTGTACCACCTCCTTGGGCAGAGGTGACCTTTCGCTGGTTGCAGGGGGAGCCTGCCCAAGGGCGTTCGGCAAGCACCGCCAGATGTCACATTACCTCTGCACGGCTTCCTGATCTGGCTCCCCGTCCGAGCTCTCCTCGTCCACAGGGGTAACTGCTGGCACTGCCTGCAGGGAGACAGGAAGGAAAAGCTCAAGGTGGCGCTTCTTCTGGAACATGCTTGTTCTGGAAACCCGGCTGGGGACAGGCCTTTCTGTTTGTTTTATTTACAAAACTCTTCTAGGACCCCCAGTTTATGCGGAACTTTCATATGCCTCTCTAGCTTTCCATTTTTACCTCGCTCAGGTGATTTTAATTTGCATTTCTTCCTCTGATTCATCTCCGTTCACTCATCCAACAAACAGCTGGATGCCTACCATGTTCCGGGACGAAATGTGAATTAACAAATACAGTTCTCGCCCTCATTGTACAGTCCCATGGAGGACGGAGACAAGGAAGCGGACAATCACAGAACAGGCATGACCCTGTCCTCTACTGGGGCCCTTGGGCATCGAGGAAAGCATCTTGGAGGACGTGACACTTCACCAAAACCTGAAGGGTAGGCAGGAGCTGGCCATGCAGAGAGGAGAAGGCTCACGAGCCTCTGGGTTTCTAGGCTGAGAGAAAAGAGAAGGCCTGAAGGCCTGAAAATATAGTAGGAGCTTGTTTACCTGAACGTCTAGGAACTGGCCTGTTGTTTCGTATTAGTGTTATCACCAGCGTTTCGATGCCTTTCGTGCCAAAAAAGCACCATGGATTTTTAAAAGTACACTTTGGTACACAACACAGAATTGTGTAGTTGCAATTCAGTGCTTTAAAAGAGCTACGCCCCGCCACAGCACGTACGTGCACGCATCACTGTGGCTCTCCTCATCTACGTGAGAACTTTCGTGGGCTGTGCGCCCTTCACAGCCCCTCTCAGCCTGGGGGCCCACATAGTCACCACACCTCAGGCACTAGAGCAAAACAAGTCCTACTCTGATTATTATGAAAGAGCTCTTTAAAATAATGGAAGACCATTATTAAGACAGAATGAAAACTGTGGGAATAATTTCGTTGTTTAAATGCCGGGCTGTCCGGATCCCTTACTATAGTTCCACGAGACTGGAGTGAACAGGGTCAGGCAGGAAGGGGCGACAGGTGAGGTAGAAGAGGGAGGGCGGCCAGTTACGGATGGCCTTGAATGCCACATTCAGAAGTATATTTTGAGGAAGAGTGGTGGTGATTCACTAAAGGATTTTCGGCAGGATGTGATGTTACAAGGTCTATGCTCTAGAAAGCCAGCTTGCTTGAGGTGCAGTGTAGAAAGGGCTGGTGGTGGGGATGAGGAAGAAAGGCCGGAGGCAAGGAGGCTAGTGAGGAGGCCCCTGTGTCAGTCTCAGCAAAGGATGACAGTGACGAAAGGACGGAGCAATGGAGGGGGACAGACAAAAGGTGCTGGGTAACTGACTTGATATGGGGATGAGGGGAAGGGAGGAGTTAAAGAGAAATTCCACATTCCTAGCTTGTGTGGCCAGGAGAATGATAGTACCTGTCACTGCCACCCAGGGGGAGAAACAGGTTACATGCAGTCATTTGAGGACATGTCAAGTTCAAATCTGAGGACGTGTCGAGTTCTAGCGGATAACCAACTAAGCCCACGCGGTCAGCGGTCATCTATACGAAGTGGAGAACTCGGAAGAAAAGAGCGCTCTGGGCTGGAGATCATTTGGTTAACAGAAATTACGGGAGCAGACAAGATCAGCCAGACAGCATATGCAAAATGAGATGCAAACAGGACCTAAGATAAAATTGGGGTTTCACCAACTTCAAAGAACAAGCAGAAAGAGAATGTGAAAAGGAGAGGCAGGAAGAAAATGAGAATGTGGTATCACAGAAGCCAAAAGAAGACAGTATTTCCAAGAGAAAGAATGGTCAACAGAGACTGATATAGTTAGAAGGCCCGAAAGATATAAAACGTCCACCGGATTTATGAACAGAAGCTTGTTAGTGACCTTGGTGTAAGCAGTTACAGTGGACAGAGGAAGTCGGTCCATCTCCCACAAAGCTGTTCCTGGTCCTTCATAACCTGCACTGATCTGGCGGGTCCCCGAATGCCGCTGCCACCTCCTGGTCCACGAGAATCACTCAGGCACTTACTCACACATGGTCCGTCACTGTTATTCCAACACTGAACATATGCTGATCCCGTCTTCTCAATATGGTAAGCCAAGAACTATGAACACGATCTTTTCCTTTTCCCAACAGGCTTGTTACTGAAAGGGTGGCCCGTGGTGGGCCCCTATCAGTCCACACACTGCTTTGTTACCAATCCGTGACAGGGTTAGTACAGAAGTAAAGAGTAAGCTTTTAGAAACTTCTAGAGCAATTTAACGGGGTGATTTTGTCTGCTGAAAATTTAGCCTTATATTTTGTAGGTTTTAAAATTTTTCTCTAACAATTCACTTTTGTTGTATTTTACAAAGGTATTAATCCCATAAGGGGTGGGAGGGGAGAAAGGTCCTCCACAAGAGGTAGGTTGAGAAGCGCTGCTCTAGAAACACCCAGGGAAGGCTGTGGATATGATTAGCACCCATTCGTATGGGCCCGTGAACATGAACAAACGAACGAAGGTTTACCTATGACAAGAAAAGAACTGAAAATAAACAGAACCTAGCAGAGGAAAAGAATCTTTGAATGTGACCATTATATATATAAAAAAAGATGGGATTGAGAGACACCGGCTGATTAGGTTAGAGCTTACGAAAGCCAATGATTGAGTGATCGAGGTTGTACCAAAAATGCAAAGCAGTGCTCATCAATGGAGAACTGGGGCAGTTCGTTCTAGAGCAAATGGTTAGGAACCATTGTCCTCGGGCCGGGAGGCGTTACCGGGAGAGGGCTGAGTCCGTCAGGCCACAGGGACCCCACCTCCAGGCTGTAGGGCTGTGGTGGCACCTAGCAGCAGAGCCCAGAAGTGGCCCACTGAGGATGAGCCTCTCCAGGCGCGGGCTTCGAGTGGCAGCTGTTTGGTTAAGTAAAAAAGTTAGCCAAAAATTAAGTCTGGAAAATTCTACGAGCCTGAAGAAAATGGGAATACACTGAGCACCATAAGCTTAGAGGAAGAGGAAATTCAGACATCTAGGTAGGTGACCTGGGTTCCCAGCCCCAGGCCCACAGCTTCTTTATCAAAAGCCTTTGAGAAAGTAGGTGGGGCCTTTTGCCGCTACTCACTGGTGTCATGGTGACAAGTGGGGAGGGTCCCCGTGGGCGCTTCAGCAGCTGCTGGGCATGTAGCTGGATGTTGGCTCCTCCGTCTGATGCCCTCCGGCCGAGGGGGCCCATTCCATTCAGCAGCTGTAGGGCGGGCGGCTGTAAGAGGGACTGCTCCTGTCGCAAGCAGAGTGGGCAGGAGGGGGTGGTGAGGAGGGGAAGGAGGTGGGGGAAAGAGCAGTCCGCTAATCCGTGGAAACTAAGGGATCCTCTGAGTATGTAGAGCCTGATCTTCCCTCTCACCCAAGCTGCCGTGCAAGGGATATTGTCCTTCTCTAGAAGGATGTACCCTTAAATCCTGGGCAAGGTCCCTCAAAGTCCCCCAAATGAAGCTCAAGTGTGTTTCTCTGCGGGCAAGCCCTGTCCCACATCTGGGTACCTTGTACTCAAGCTGCCCCGTCGGTTGCAAGTTTTGCATGGGCAACAGGTTGTGCATGAAGTTCATGTTAGGGGCCACCTGCAGGAACGGAGCCTGCGGGTTGACTCCAGGAAAGCCAGGCAGGAGCTTCTGCAGATCTTCCAGAACTTCCGTGCTGATAGGAAACAGGATGACAGAGAAGTTTGGTTAATTGTCTCACTCCAACATGCTTATATCCCCAAACTGATGAAACTGCTAAATTCAGCACAAGTTTTGTTGTGGTGGTGGTTGTTCTAGTTTTTCACTTTCCTCCTGAATTTGTACCTCGACGACCCCAACACGAGGAGAAGCCTGGTGCATGGAATGTGGCTCTCTGCCATTTTCCCAGTTGGGACTGGGGGTTGCTATTCTTCGTTGACCAGTCGTGTAAAACCAACAGCTCTGAGCCAAGAGGAAATCCTGGCACCACTCCAGTTGGGGTTTTCAAAGCCTGGAGGTGAGCAGCGAGCTTCTGGAGGACACAGGCCATTCACTCAAACAATGGCTGCCCGAAGTAGCAACTGATTCACCAGGGGAAGAATGCAGTTACTCCCGTCAGAGCTGACGGGACAGATAAGTGGTAGACACGCAGGGCTCTTGGGCCCGAACGGTAAGGCTGACAGCACACGTTGAAATAAGAGATCTTTCCACGAACAGAGTGACACAGGACTCCACCCCTGTGCAGCTGACAGGGTCTTTGAAGCCAGAATGTTCCCCTATTGCCTGTTTGATCATAGGCCGGGAATGAGAAACGTAAAGCAAACAACCAGCTGGCCTCGGGAGGCTGTTTTGGAAATCACTCAGAGAAAAAAGGTTTATATTTATAAGAACACTAGCTTCACCCCTAATTGAACTCTCAGGAGAACTCTTGCCATAACCTTCTCTTCCCAGCACAGTAAAGGAAATATCCAGAGAAGAGGTAAGGCTATTTTTAATGTTGAAAGTCTTCAAATGTAGAAGAAAAACAGAGAGCTGGCCTTCGGTACAGTCCCCATGTGAGGGCGTCGGAGAGCATACCGAAGGACCGTTTTGGGAAAACACTGTGGGAAACTGGTACTTACTTGGTATGTTTTTGGAGTCTTGCTCACTTAATTTAATTTTTAACTTACATAAATCACACCGTACCATTTGTCCTCCCTTCTTCAATGAGTCGTGCCTTAGAACATGTAGTAAACAATATCTCTAAAAGCTGTTAAACTCGGATGAATTTTAAGGGGTCCTTTTATGTGACTTAGATCAGAAGAACTCCATTTTAGTGAGCCAAGACGTTACCATGTTCCTCACCCAAGTATTCTGCTTAATTGGGTTAGAAAAACATATCTCGGCCACTGGATTCGAGCTCATCCAGGAGGTAGAATGAAGTAGGAAAAATGAGCCACAGTAGGGACTCCCCGTAGGGTGGGAATTCTCTGCGGAGGAAGTACTCAGGGCTGTCCGTCAGATACTCACCGGGGGTCAGCCACGCCCACCGTGTGCCTCCTCATGGACAAATAGCGGACCAGGGCTTCAGGGGAGGGCTCTTCACCCTCATCGCTGTCCAAGTTCACGGTCCCATCCGGCTGAGGTGGAAGGAAATACGATCAAATTAGAAATAAAAAGGAATTTAAAATGGGACGCCAGGAAAGGAAGCAAAGATACGGGGAAGAAAATGGTTTCGGCTGACAGCTATCCGAGGTCTCTACTTGCCTCCACGATCTGGTTCTCTGGGTTGATCAGCTGCACCTGGGGAACGCTGATGTTCATAGTGGTACCGGCCTGCTCCGCCTAGAAAGTAGCACATACGTATACACTCTTGTCTTACATGCTAGGTGGAAATAATGACGCTCTTTCAAAGGATTCTTTGTTGCTAAAGTCTATGTTTCTACCTCTGAGTCTTTGGTTCCTCTGCCCTTAGAAGCTACAACAAGGAAGCATTCTTTAGGGAAAACAGTCTCTCTCAATGATTGGCTGTTTCTTTAATTAAAAAACAAAATGCAACTCTTGTTGTCCATCCTGAGTACTGGAATACCCTTCCATCCTCTCTGTCAAAGAAGTTCTGACCTTTGCTTGATCTCTGACAAAGGAAGATGTGACAGACAGGAGAGGATGGAGGTAAAGAAGAAGAGGAAACTCTCTTGGAGTGAGTTAGCAAGCTCTGGCTAACCGTTCCCTCCTCCCCTGTGCTACTTGTCCTGATTCAGGTCACTGGAGTGATTGCCTACCTGGACATTGACTGGTGCTTGAAAGGCCATGGCTCGGGGCATGCTAGGAGGTGCTCCGACACGCAGGGTTTTGTGTCTCTTATGTCGATCACACAGCAGGCTGTAGATCGCACTATAGTGATCGTAGGCATCTGATCTTAACGACTACCAAGGGAGAAGGGAAAAGAGTGAGAAACCCTGGTGAAATGTCATGTCAATAACCAAAACCCTCTCAGTAGTACATCAGCAGACCAAAGCACCTTCTTGTCGAAGCTCAAGAGAGGGGTAGAGGAAGAAAAACAGGAAGAAAAGGGAAAGTTCCCAGGAGGGAGAAAAAAGTGGAAAAGGCAGGACAGAGGGACTACGGCTACCCCTCGCTTTGTCCTCCACGCCTTTAGAGATACCTGTAGCGTCCGCTCTTTGTCCAGTCCCATGTCCTCCATGGCCAAGAGGACGTCCTCATTCAGGGGGTCTATCTGTCTGTCTTCCTTCAGCTGCTGGCACTCAGCTATTAACTGTGACATTAAAAAGAGTCAAGCTATCAAAGCCCCAGTTAACCACGCAGGGATGGCAGGCCACCTATAAGGAACTAGCTGTTCTGTGCCCCGAGCTTGGGATATTTTTGGCCTCAGACAAAGCCTAAGCAAGAAAGTTCTAGGTCCTCAGCTGCCAGCAGACAAGATCCCTGTTTTGCTGAGGTCCTTTGGGATGGCCAAAATGGTTTAAATAAAGCTGTGCTGCGGAAGCCACTGAACGTAAAACACAAGGACAAGAGGAAGGAGCTGTCCCTGGGGTCGGGGAGCTGCAGGAATGTGGGCTCTACAGTTTCAAAAGCCAAGGAGGGACTATGATTTGGGGGCAAGTGGCAAGCAACTGGGATCACTACTCTGCAGCAGCCCAGCTGCTTTAAAATTCCCTCCTGCTGTGGTGACACAGGGCAGTTTGCTCCCAGCACCCGCTCTTTTGCAGTCAGGGCATGACTACAATCTCATGTGAAAAAGAGAGCAGGAGCTCCCGGCGGAGGCCCCTCGAGGCGCACAGGACTCAGCTCACCCGGTCAAAGTTGGGATCGGCGTCGCCCAGCTTCATCCACTTGTGCTTGCAGATCTGCTCCATGGAGAGGCGCTTGCTGGGGTCTAACACCAGCATGTGGCGGATCAGGTGCTCACACTCTGCAACAGACAAAGGGGCCGCCTTCAGCCTTGGCGACGGGGACACAGGGGCGGCTGAGGAGCTCGAGGTCAGGCAAGCAGACGGACTCTCCAGCTCCCTGCTTCTCCCTTCTCTCTCCTGCTCCTTCCCGCTGTCACTGCTCACTCCACGAGGGACCGGGCAAAGGCAGGAAGTGGCGAAGAAAAGTTGGGTTATTACGAGTCTGACCAGACAGTTTAGGGGTACTCCCGGGGTCTCACGTATTTATATACTGTCCGGCCCCATTTAACACATGAAGAACTGAATGTCCTCTAGGGACGCCTGGGTGGCGCAGTTGGTTAAGCATCTGACTTCTTGGTTTCGGCTCAAGTCCTGCTTCCAGGGTGCTGGGATGGAGCCCCACATCGGGCTCCAGGCTCAGCACAGGGTCTGCTTGAGATTCTCTCCCTCTCCCTGCCCCTCCAGCCTGTGCACTCACACGTGCGTGCTCTCTCTAAAATGAATAAACAAATCTTAAAAAAAAAAAAAAAAAAAAAAAAAGGAATTGAATGTCCTCTAAAGAGATCTGGTATCTTACAAGGTCTTCAAAACATTCAGTTCTACCTTCCTGTGTGTATTATGACGTGTCTACTAAAATGCTTCTGGCTTGGTGTCTAGAGCTCTCTTCAAACCTCAGCATTTAAATTTCTGATGGTGTGGGGTTGAGAAGCTCTGGATGCTCCCTACCACACACCGGGACTCGCTGCCAGCCTTATTTATCATTTCCTCAATGTGTATTGAGACTTTCACAGGTGCATACAACCGGGCTCTGAGCTACCGATATCCAGGTCAGTATCGTTCTCGGACGGCTCGTACTACACGCCATGCTACAGAACGTACAACGGATTCACAAGCAAGGACCCCGTATTCTGATTTCAGAGCCACTCTCTAAGTTTTCTCAGGTGTGCGCTGCGGGTAGAGGATGGTGAGGGAGTGGTACTTGTGTTTGGAGGTGGCAGCGATGACAGGAGCGAGCAGTACTAGCAGACACTCTCGGGAGCACTTGACAACGAGTTTTCTCTCATTTGCACCTCACAGCCATCCTAGCAGGAAGGTCCCATCATCGCTGCCACTTTAGCGATGGTAACAAAGAGGCACAGAGGAGTCAAGCACTGTGTCTAAGATCTCATGAAGTCAGATTTCAAACCGGACAGTCGGACGCTTTGGCCACTGCCCTGAACCATGCGCCATGCTGCCTCTGGACTGTGCAGAGCTGTGGGCAGAATCTGAACTCCTAGCCAATAATTTGACACCTTCAGCCAAGCCCCCATCATCTCTTGCTTGGACTACTGCCAAAGTCTCCCAGTTGGTCTTTCCACATCCACCCTTGCTCCTTTATAACTTGTTCTCCGCAGAGAAGCAAAGGGCATATTTCTAAAACAGAAATCTGAGTTAGCACCACCTTGCCTACAACTCTCCAGTCTCTTCCCACATCCCAGAGAACGAAGTCCAAAGTCCCCGGCCCCCAGGCCCCCATCTCTGCGGCTGGGCCGCCCCCTCCTGCCGCAGTCCCTCTGGCGGCTCAGGTGTCCTCTCTGGACTGTGCACTGCTTGGCACACACACGCCCACCAGCGGCCTTTCCACTTGCTGCTTTCTCGGACCCTCAAGCGTTCGGCTCCTGTCACTCAGGAGAGGACTCAAATGCCACTTCCTCAGAAAGCTCTTTCCAGCCACCTCATCGATGTCAAGTGGGCCTCCAGTCACCCTCTATCCACACCACAAGAATTTTCTCCACACGATCGACTTCTTTTGAAGCCATCTGATTTACTGCCTTCTTGTCTGGCTCTCTCACTGCAATGGAAGGCCCGTGTCTTTCTTACTGATGTTTCTGGTACCAGACCTCCGATACCAGGCATGGGATGATACCTAACTGGAGCTCAACCCATAGCTACCGAGAATACGAATCAATATTTATTGAAACTCTAATCAAACAAGATTGTGTTTGTGAAAATGCTTTTGAAAACTACACATTTTGGGGGAATAGGGTGAGGGGGTGGGTGAGTTGGGGAAGGGGACTAAAAGGCACACATTTCCACTTATAAAAGAGATAATAAGTGAAGAAGCAAGGTACACTATTGAGAATACAGTAAGGACAGCGTAACTTCTTCATGGCCACAGAGGGATGGTAGATTCTCGTGGTGATCACGGTGTAATGCATATAAATGCGGAATCACTGTGTTGTACGCCTGCGACTACTACAGTATTGTATGTCAATTACGTTTCAATGAAAAAAGAGATACTTTTTTAAAAAGCTACAAAATTCTCTGTAAGACACAGGTTTTAAAACAGTTTCCATTTCATGACATTGGTCCTGAAAATAACACTGGCCAGTGATGAGAGCAGTAACTGATCAGTGCTAATTTTAAAAGACTTTTTATGTTCAAGGCCCTGTGCTTAACAACTTTATTTCATTTACTCCTCTCAACAACCCTAAATTAGCTTCTATTATTAGCCCCTGTATAAAAGAAGAAACAAGTGAACGTGCTTGACATTGCAAAGTAATGGCAGGGCTGGGGCTAGAGAGAGAGGCTCCGAACCGCCCTTGATACATCTTCATGTAGATATAAATCCTGTTTGATCTATTTTTCCAGAGTGAATTTAACCTGCAACCCCACAGTTTTGGCACCATGTGGCAAACACCATTCTACATCACCATGCTAAAAGGAATACATAGAGTAATTAAGACAATGTACTCAATTCTAATTTTATTCTTCCTTTAAAAGAAAGTGCCCATATCAAAATGATTTTATAGCAGGCTTCAGTTTGTTCTTGCTTTAGAATTAAAAGTATATTCAAATGCAGTGTAGATCCTAAGACCTATATGCCTATGAAAGAGTAAGTGCCATCTACCACATTATACTTTTATTAAAATTATGTTTCCAGCGTAGCCAGACTACACCCCACAACTGGAGCATTTGTATAGATTACAAATATCTTTGTAATATCTGCAGTTACTTGAGAAGAAAAAAATGTTCAAGACTTAAAAAGTTACTACAAGTGGGCGCCTAGGAGGCTCCATCAGTTGAACGTCCAACTCGGTCCCAGCTCAGGTCTTGATCTCAGGGTCATGAGTTCAAGCCCCATGTTGGGTTCCATGCTGGGTGCATGAAGCCTATTTTAAACAAAAGAAAGAAGGAAAGAAAAAGTTACTACAACTAAAGACCCCAGGTGAGGAGGTGGCCTGGGCCTGACTGGAAAGTGGTGAGATTTTTGTTCACGCCTCTAGATGGCGCCGTTCTGTTTTCTTTCCGTTCCCACACCGCATGGAGTGCATAAAAGGTAACCACGTCAGTCCTCAATCAGATGACCAAGGCAGGATGACGTTCAGTTATAGGCTTGCTTTAAAACAGGATTTTCAAGGCAATTTCTTTAAAAACAAAAGAAATTGAACGCCAGTATAATAAGCCTTGCTTAGAAGATGTAGCTAGTTCAGTTTCAGGATCTTGAAAACTTTATTCAGTCATCCTTAATCATTATTTGGTCTCAGATGCCTTGAAAACTCTCCAGAAAAACACGAACAAGAATTTATACACAAAAATTTGCGTGTAACTTCAGTCTGTTCAAGGAACCCCCAAATCATGCCATTGATATTCCCCCGATGTCTACAGGTCCCAGGTTAAGGCCTCGGGTGGCAGTGACGACACCCAGGAGGCAAGTTTTTATCTTGTATGCCCTCCCTAATATCCCCCATGCAAAGGAACAGAAATCTCACACCTTCTATGTGTTGCACAGATGGTAAAAAATGACAAAATGCAGAAAGCCAGATATTATCATCAACTCATACTTCCTAAGTGTCCTACATAGCTCACGAAATTAAATTCAAGCTCGATTTGAACACACCGTTCTACATAAAATATGGACAGAGGGTGAAAACAACGGTAACCAATGCTCCCAACCTAATACCACAAGCAACCACGGGGACAGTCAATTAAAATGAGTGGAAGGAAGCTAGGGCCTCTGATGAAAGGGTACACTCATCCACTTTTCCAGCTGCCAAGTCCTCTATTTTCATGTCGCCAGTGGCCCCGGCCCTCATCCCCTCCCTCGGCTGGGGCCCGACACTGCAGCGCTCTGGGCCGTGCAGGAACCGACTGCCAGCAGCGCCTTCAGACTCGGCTTCCATCTGCTCCACACAAGACGCCAGGCGGTCTCCGCAGTGCAGATCGCCCCGGGCCCTGAAACTCGATCTGCCACCAGCTCTAACTAGAGGGTGGCCCCGCTCGGGCCCTGCCCTGCGGCGCTGACAGGCGTTTGGAAGGCTCCGGGGACACAGAGCTGCTGTCAGGCCAGGCCCTAAAATGGGAATTACATGGAGATTGCCCATGTCATTCCATCTAAGAGGGCCAGGTCCTTAATACCTTTTTTCTTTTCAAAAACTTGGTGATAAACAGTTTTTCTCTAAGAGGTTCAAAGTATTCCATCTGGGTCGGGGGGCGAGGATGTAGGGGAAGTAAAGAGTGAGGAAGGGGAATTAAAAACCCACTTCAAATTCATCAAAGATAGTTGACAGAAGTTCTGTCTCTAGTTTCCAGCCCAGAAGAAATGAGAACTTTAGAAAGACCTTCCGGACCCAAAGTTTGAGAACATGGCCCTGAAGACAGGTGAAAGGCCAGGAGCCCAATTCATCTTGCAGATGAGAAGGTGTAGGCCAGCAGCAAGGGGAATACTGGGTGTTCTTCAAGTACCAGAAGGGTTTTTATTAAGAAAACCAAGTGGATTTATCCTGCACTGTTCCAGGGGCCTGAATCTGGATAATGGGAAGTCACAAGTTCAATGTAGGACAAGTCTTCCTAATTGTTAGAGGTGATCCAAATTCCTGGGTCAGGGTGTAAGGGATCTGAGGAGGGTCCCCTTAGGGATGCGAGAGGGGCCATCCAGTGGGCACGGACGCACCTGCGGCACAGCTAATTTTATCCATTTTATAGATTAGTGTTCTGAGTAAAAGTTCACTTGCGAAGTTAAGTCCAGAAACAACTATCC